ATCTTTGGGGGAAAACAGATTCTTGTACATCGTTTTGGAATGGCTCAAGGGCCAACGTATAGCTTGAATCCACCTTCACTGGGAGTCAGCTGTGTGTAATGAAGACACACTTGCTTGATAAAAGCTGCTCACAAGTACCAAAAAGCATCTTGGCCAATTGCCTGGAAACCTGTGGGATTTTTCAGGCCCTAGGTACTTCGAACAAACTCTCGGAGCTGGTGGAAAAGCTTGGCAGGGCTGACAATGAGGATGCTGTTTTTTTTGTGGTTATTTTTCCCCCCATTCTCTATCTCTGGGATGTCAACTGCAAACACTTGCATGGTGACAGTAGAAAATATTTTGTAGTGACCCTGTGTAGCCCATATTGGTTCTGGCAAAGTCAGTTTAAGGAGAATGAAACTCAAGTTCTGTTAGTGTGTCTCATTCATGGACGGTGCAAATACTGCAACACAGTGAAGCTTGCTTAGAGGGCCCCAAAATCCTTCCTGTAGCACGTAACAAAGAGGGCACACAGGCTCCTGGTCATCTCCCTTTGCTCTCAATGTGCACGTCATTAAGGATACTCTGAAGTGCACCTTTTTGGTGGTGGTGATTTTAAATTAGGCTGCTTTACTTTGTACCTAAATGGTCTGAGTTTTTGCAGAGTTCAGCTCTCAGGGTGATTCCCGAGCTGTCTGCAGAAGTGTGCTGGAGTCTATAATTCAGTCTATAATTTGAGTCTGAGTTCAGAGTAAAAACTAAAAGACTACAAACTGAAGTAGTTTTATACTTAAGAAATGTAAGAGCAGAAAGGATCATCTAATCTAATTGTTGGCATGCTGTATTTTGTAAGGTATTTCCAGTTCTTAACAAAGCAATTTGTATTTACTTTGGGAAGGACAGGAGGAGTAGCTTCAAGTTGTGCCAGAGGTTGGATACTAGGAAGAACTGTGAGAAAGAGCAGTGGGGCACTGGCACAAGCTGTCCTGGAGGGTGGTGGAGTCACCATTCCTGGAGGTATCTAAGGAAGGAGTAGGTATGGTACTGAGGGACATGGCTTAGTGGGCAACACTGGTGGTGTGTGAATGGGTTGGCCAGATGATGTTAGATGTCTTTTCCAACCTTAATGACTATATGAACTCGCTGCCTAGCTCTCAGCATTTAAGGCTCTACTTTATTGGATTAAAAGGCCATTTGAAGCTCAGCTGGAAGGAGTGTAATATGACGTACTGCATGCAGTATGACCAATCAAATTGCCCTCAATCATCTTGTTTAGCTAGGTTAAGTTTAAAATGTTCTGCTAGAAGGTATATTTTCATGCTTGAATGTTTTTGCATCAGTTTTGATATATTTTTTAAACTGTATTAAAATGCAGAAATGAGGTTAACACTTGCTGAAAATGGTAATTGAATGCTAAGCTTCCACAGGAAGCTAAAAATCCCATGGAAGGAGACAGGATGGCATTTTTTTCCCCTCTTCTCTCAGCTCACATAGGAGCCCCGTAAGCTCAATTTGCACAACTTAGCGATGCTGTCAATTTAGGTAACCACTAGTTCAAGACATCTGTATGTGAGTGCATAGACACAACTGTGAACCATTTTCTTTCTCATGCAAGAAAATGGAAATATGTCCTAAGATGTGGAGGAAGGATACAATCTTAAGGCTAAGCCAACTGTTTTGGCAGATTGCTTTGTTCCTTGAGTTTTCTGTGTGCTTCCTGCATGACCTTCAAAACTCTGTGCCCAGGAGGATGTTCTCCTGAGTCCCACCCATACTGGTTTGTGTTTCAGTGGTCTGAGGGAGCACAGCCTGAGCTGTTGCTGGTGGGTAGAGCTCAGCAGGGGATGTGCTGTGTGACCCAGCTGCTCTCCTCAGTGGGGAGAAGGGAGAACTGCTGGCACAGAAGTTGTGTGTTCCAAAAGCGAAGCACCAGATTTGTAAAACCTGTGTGTCTGCTCCCGTGTCCCCCGTGGGAGGAAAAGCAGCTGGGGCTGATTACCTCTTTGTGTGCGCTCATGTGCCTGCTGCTGATGCTTGGAGGTGGGGCCATAAATGGGAGAGTCCTAAAACTGAGCTCTGACAGCTGGGGATGCTGGGTCTGGATCGCCTCCTGGGGGTGCTATCTTGGGCAGCTTGCTGTGCCATGGTGAGGCTGTGGGTGCCTGTGGTTACTAATGACCATCCTAGCACAACTCTCAGAAATACATCCCATTTTTCCATCATTTGTTTCAGTAACATTTTACTAAGGACAGCATCTTGGGATGGTAAGAACCATAAGCTGTCAGTGTAATGGACAGGAATAAAGTGCCTGCTTAGCAGAAATTTCCCTCTCATGATGTCTGCATGCAAGTTGGCCTCTTTTGCTAGCTGCGCTGCTGAGTGCTGGGCTACATTCTTATTTGTCTTCACTCTTAAGTGGAATAGAAACAGACTTTATTTTGCAGGTGAAAACTTTGTGGTGTGCTGTGTGACATTTGCTGGTGGGTGACAAAGGAAGATGTCTAGATTTGGAGAGTTTGAAAGCTGGAGCTTGCACCCTGGCTGAGGGCTCCAACAAAGACCTGGTGTGTGTTGCCAGTAGCTTTGGAGAGGGTTTGAACAGAGTCCTGCCTGCTGACTTGGTTAACAAGGAGCGCTTTTCCCCATGACAGGTGCGAGTGACTGACATGCAAAGAGCTCTTCTTTCAATTATTCTGCAACCACATATCAAACGAGAGTCCCTCTGTTTGTGTGCTGCTCCTTTCTCCCTTTACAATGCAGTGCACTGTCAGATCAGATAGTCTGTTTAATAGTCTGTTGGAGTGGAAAATAGAGACGGTCCTCTCTGTAAAGAAGGATTTGAAAAGGCATCTGGTTTTTCATCCAAGCTGCTGGAAGCCCTTCCTTCCCCTCCTCATTCCTCAGTCCCATCCCAGAACCTCACCCCTTCCTGCCTTTGTCAGGCAAGTGTCAGATTCGACACCTTTGCAGTAAGGTACAGACATGCAAATGGATAAAACCAGCAACACCTCATCAGAGAGTGTAAACTTTCTGTCAATCTAATTTGTGGATGTAAAAAAAAAAAGAAAGCTTTATTGCCAACAAATTTCTAAAATGTTTTTGATATTAAAAAAAAAACAAAAACAAACAAAAAAAAGCAAAAAAACAACTCTAAGAGCAGTGCTTTGACCTGCCTCTTTCTTTTCAGCCAACACAGGACTCAGAAGTGTGCATGGGAAAGGTGCACAGTCGTTCCTACCCCTGCTGGCCTTTGGAAAGCAGCTGGTGGTCTGAAGGCGAGGGCCAGCACGCGTGGAACTCCTTCTGCAGCAGTGGGGTTTGCAGGCTGGGTGCAGCCTTTGCTTCTGCCATGGCTCACATGCAGGAAGCACTGGGTGCACCACTCCACATGTTGTCCCCAGATGTGGGAAGGGCAACCACATTCGCAGCAGTTTGTAGAAGAATCAGAAAGAGAGCAGGTGAGGGGATAAGGCCGGCTGCAGCTCCACTTCTCCAGGGCCAGTGCAAAGTTCTCTCCGATGGCTGCAGCGCTGCTTAGTGGTGATGGCTGCTGCTTGCCCTTGCTGATTTGCTGCTGAATCAAAGGTGGCAGTTTATGTTGACTCTCTGCTGTGTTTCTGTCACCAAAGTGTCAGGATTTGCACTTACAGCAGCGTTGCAGAAGAGCCCTAACCCAGCCCTTTTCATCTCATGGAAATGAAGCTGAGCCAAGTGCCTCTGGTATTCCTGCAACAGCTGCAGCAGGCCCTGAAGCAGCTTTGGCTGTCAAACCTTAACCCAGAGAGCCCAAGGCAGGGCTGCAGCCTAGTTCTGCTGTGCAGCTGGGCTTGCTGCTGTCAGCTGTAGGATGCATGGCCCTGGTGCCATTGCTCCTTCATGGGCTGCCCAGCTCCATAGAGCTCCTGGCCCTATCCAGCCCTTGGGAGCCATAGCTCTCTCCTTTTTGGGAGCACGGGATAGAAAGGCAGTTTCTGGGTGGCAGGTGAAGCTCTGTCATAGCGTAGCAGGATCACGCGGTGCAACGAGGTGAGCAACAACTAAGGCATCAGGCACTGTACTAACAGTTTAAAAAAAGTGACCTTGCTTTGGGTCTGGAGTGGGGCAGCCTCAGCCCACGAGGTCATCTCATGCATAGGCTGTTACTATTAGTGCAAGTGTCCCAGGTTCCCTCCCTCTCATTTACACTTCAAATGCTGGCCTCCCTCCCTAAAGCACAGGTCAATACAGCAGCTCTCACTGCCTCCTGGGGAGCTGGTTCTTGCCCTTCTCTCCAGTTCAAAGGGAAATGAGTTGTTCTGCTTTTGTGCTAAATCTGATGGTAATCTCGAATAAGAACCTGCACCCCCCAGGTAACATTAAATAAGGAGCAGTCTACTGGTACTTGTTTTCCATTTTCATTGTTCCATAGGGTTGTTAACAAAGGGAAGTTACAGGTCTCATCCCCTGGTGGTTAGGTTGCTTCCTTTCTTGCTTGTTCTATGTTTGGGAACTTCCACGTATTAAGAAACTTAACAATTGGTTTTGTTTCTCGCCTTAGAGTGCCAGCTCTCTGGAAGGTGGTAGTGCAGTACAAACAACATGGCATCTCCCAGCAGGGACATGAGAGAGATCAGACCTCACGTAGAGCAGTGCTGAAATCTACTCCCTTAAAACTATTTTTTCTCTCTTCAGAAATACCTTCCCCATCCTCTACATTCTCCAACCAACCTTGCATTTGAAAGCAAAACCAATCATCAGTGCTGTGCTGCCCCTGCAGAGGACGTGTCCAATGCCTCAGGACTGCAGCTGCACCAACACCACTGTGAGAAGGGAGCAAATAATGGGCAGCCAGGCAGGCTGTGGCAAGGGTCACTGTGTGCTACTCAGTGCAGTAACGTTAAGAGACACTTTAACTCCAATACCTGAGCTAACAATACTTAGTATGTGAACTAAATGATTAATTAGCAGCACTGTTCCCCATACATAAAAATACTTTTGTTCCTCGTTAAGCAGCAGCATAATGCAAAAATCCATGAAATCACTGCCAATTCAGTTTTTTTTTATTAAAGATTAAAAATAAAAAAAACACACTTGATTTGATACCCTAATATACATAAAGTCACAATGAACTCAAATGTGCTAAAAGCAAAATGTGAATCAAGATGCTCATTTCTAAAGGTGCCCCGCCATCAGTTCTGGATGTCTGCAGAGCTCCAGCAGGTCCTGCTCCTCTTCCTTCCCTGAAGGCAAGAGCTGGGCTGCTGCCACACACAGCTGCTCTGGGAGCCCCTTTCAGGGGTCCCTGCTGTCACCAGCACACGAACGCCATGTGCAGATGGAGCCTCTCATGGAGTTACCCGTCAGGATCTAAACCGCACGAGGGCTTTTTGTTAAGAGAACAAGGTAGTGAGCGTTATCTGGGCCACTTATAGGGGCCAAGAGGATGAGGCAGGGTTAAGAGACCACAGCTGTGCATCCAAAGAGCTTCGCTACTAAAAAAACTCCCTCCTCCCCATCCCGTCCCCCCACTCTCATACAAACGACACCCAGCTACAAACTGCCGCACACGCACAGTCCACGCGCTGCGACGGCTCTCGTTCAGCCACGAGCCCGGCGGGGTGACAGGAGGGCCGCGTTCCAACCCCGAGGCGCCGCACCGCCCCGCCGCTCGCAGCGTTACCACGGCCTCCACATGGACTTGGGCGAGGGCACGCCGCGGGTCTGCGCCGCCTCCAGTCCGCGGGCGGGGGTCTGTCCCGGCTCAGCCTCCGCCTCGTCCGAGTCGGAGCACGTCTCTTCGCCGGACAACGGCGAGGGCAGCACCAGGCCCAGGGCCGCCTCGGCCACCGGGAGCGCGGTCTCGCCGCCCGGCCAAGGCTCGGCCAGAACGTCCGCCATCAAGTCCCCCAGGCCGCCCTCGTTGAGCGGCATGGACTCCAGCAGGTGGTTCAGCAGCTCGGCCGCCGTGTTGGCGTCGATGGCGGGGCAGCCGGAGACGAAGGTGTGCACCTCGTGCATGCACTGGATGTAGCCGGCGGCGAAGCGCTCGCTGGCCTCGCGGTGCAGCCGCCCGCCCTCTGCGAGCCGGGAGAGACAGACACACACACAGACAGACGGAGCGGGGTGAGGCGCGGTGCGGCCCGGCTTCCCCCTCCTCCCCCCGGTCCCGCGGCACTCACCGAGCGCGCGGCGCTCCAGCACGGCCTGCACCCGCCGCACCGTCAGCTCCAGCACCTCCGCGTTCTCCAGCTTCGCCTAGAACCGCCCCGGGAGGCGCCGCGGCCGTCAGCGCCGGCCTCTGCCTCGGCCCCCGCCGCCCTCCCGCCGGCCCCGCTCCTCACCTCTCCGCCGGCCAGCAGCCGCCGCAGCTCCCGCAGGCTCTCGTTGATCCGCGCCCTCCGCTTCTTCTCCACCAGGGGCTTCCGCGCCTGCAGGCACGCGGCGCCGTCAGCACGCGCGCCCCATCCACCCCGCTCCGCTCCGCGCCCGCCGCTCACCCTCCTGTCCGCGCGCGGCTCCGCGCCGCCCGAGCCGCCCCGCGGCGCGCGGCCCTTGCCCTGCCGGAAGGACGGCGCCATCCCCGCCGCGCTCCTCCGCGGCCCCGCGCCGCTCCCCGCCCCGCGCCGCCCGTCTTATAGCGGCCGCTTTGCATCGCCGGCAGCCCATTGGCCGCGCCGTGCGGGCAGCGCCGGAGCGTGGGCCGAACGGCCCAATGGCGGCCGCGCGCTTTGTCTGCCGCGGGGCCGCGCGGGCGGGCGGGCGTTGTACCGCGTTGTACCGCGTTGTACCGCGTTGTGCCGCGCCGCGCCGCGGTGCTGCGGTGCCCGGGGCTCCTGCGGCGGGCCGTGCTCTCGGCCCCTCCCTGCATGGCCCCGCCGAGGGCCGCTCCGGCCGGGTGTGAGCGGTGGCGCCGATGCGTGCTTACGGCGGCCTCGGGTCCTTCGGGAGCCCCCCGGCCGCCTTATGAGCTAGGTGCCCCCGGCCTCGGCCGTGCCCGTGCGGGAGCGGAATTGCGAAATGCCCGCTTCGGGCGGCGGTTCTCGCGGCTGGAGGCTGTCGGCTGCTCGGCTCTCCGAGCCCTTTGTCTTCGCCCGACCGAAGCCGCCCGTGGCGCAGCCGCTGCTCCGCAGCCCGCGGCGCGCCGCTCCGAGCCCCCGCCGTGCCCCGCCGGCCGCGCGTGCCGGGATGGCGGCCGCGGCCCCGTCCGTACCCGGGACGTGTCGTCCCCCCGCCGCTCCCCAGCGCCGGCCGAGGCCCCGGCTTTGTGCCGTAACTTGATGCTGATGACAGTTGGCAGCTGCAGTTCCCCCAGCAGACCGAACCGAATAAAAGCATCGGGTCTCTTCCCCGAGGAGAGCGACAGGTGTTCGCTCTCGCTCCTTTGTTTCCCTCTTTTCATTCTCCTCGCTAATGTGTGTCATATTTTTACCGCCCGAGGGAACGCGAGATGCATCCCCCGCTGGAAGCGGCCCCGCACACCCGGCCGCCTCCCCGGCATGTGCAGCATAACTGCCCGCTGCGGCAGTGCGGGCCCGCGGGCTGACCCTGCTGGAGGTGGGGCTCCTATTGCTCCCCTTATCCGAAGCACAGAATGAGGTGGGTTGGAAGGTGCGTTGCAGCCGGTCCTTCTGGCTTCTGCCATGGGCTGGGTGCCCAGCACCAGCTTGGGCTACACGGGGCCCTGTCCAACCCAGCCCTGAACACCGTGTATGGGGCACCCACACTTCTCTGGGCAGCAGAGTGAGGGCTTCACCGCCCTCGGAGTGAAGAATTTCTTCCTCACATCTAACCTAAATCTCCCCTCTGTTAGTTTAAAGCCTTTCCCCCTCATCCTATCACTATCTGACTGTGGGATGGTTCGTGTGTATTGCCATGGGATGGATTTGTTCCATGCTGTCTCCTCATTGCCACAGCAGCACAGCCATCAGGATGGGGCCACCCTGTGTCCAAGCCGCCCCATGCTGTGTCCCAGCCATCGGCCCCTTACTGCCAGAGCAGTACTGCTGCTGGCAGTCCTTGTCTTTCCCTTGTGTTTTAAGGAAATGGTGCTTGGATTTTGGCAGGTTGCTCTATAGGTGACACATTTCATTGCACTATAGACAGGAACAAAATTGGGTTGTAGCTGTGAATGTGTGGTTAAACTTGTCCCTGAGATTCCGATGAGCTCGATGCACCATGGGGCACGACGCTGACACAGGCACATGCACATTATTATAAAATGAGTAGTAACGTTGAATGTACACTGATTGCAGAGAGCAAGAACAAATCCAAGGGGATGCATCTCATCCCTGCTGATGGTTTTAGGATCCAATCTGTGGTGCACTGGTGGTGATCTGCTAGCAGAGCTTGGGCACAGAGAGCTGTCCATGGCTGTAACATCCCGTTTGTGTTCTGACTGCCTGAACCAATGGCAATGAGCTGCACAAGGTTCCAGCTCTGGCTTTGGAGCATGTCTTTCTGTGTACTCTTTGGAAAGCTGCAGGTCAAATGGGTTGACAAATGCTGGAGTCACTTGTGCTGTACATTAAAGATGTATCATAAATAAATATCAGGGCACTACAAGAGCTGTGGTTCTGGAGGAAAAGGTCAGTGCAGGTTCCCTGCTCCAGCCCACAGGGCTAATGTGATGGTTTTGTGCCACTTTAAATGAGCTCCATCACAGCAGGTGGAACGATTCATGATAACCTCATGCATTTTAATGTAAATGTCAACTGCAATCTTGTAAAAGCAAATGTCCCTTACATACTTTGTCTAATGCTTCACTGCTTGCCCAGGTACTGTGGTTCCTGAAGGATGTTTTGGCAAAACTTATCCATACGGCTACGCACCACCTTGCATCCTCTGCAAGGATAAGCATTCCTCCTGCATGGAGGGTGGGAGTTTCACTTCAGCTAAAGCTGAGTCCTGCCAGGGACTGCAGCTCCCTCATGCCAAAGAACAGCATGTTTGAGCAGAGATGGATGAGATCAGAGCTTTGCAGCACGTATTATCCTCCCGGTTTGTGCGCAGAGTGCAGTAACACAGCATATAATGATGGTTTGTAATTCTTTGTAGATCATATGCAGTCACTAAAGTACCTGTGACAGCAGTGGCTGGGACAGCAGTGGAAGACAATCCTGCAGCCTCTGCCCCGCAGTGTGTGCTCTGTGACCCATGTGAGGCCCGTCCCCATGAGGTGGGGCTGACCACCACGGGATGCCATGTGGATTTGAGCCATCAGTTACATCTGAAAGCTCTCCAGCTCCCTGAAGAACATCCACAGAGATACAACACAATTCTGAGAAACTGTGAGGGGTCCACAGCCAAATGTGTGGCCATCCATGTTCTTGGGCTTGAGACTGACATGATCTGTGCTTTCAGTAGGTCATCCAGCCTCTGTGAACAGTATAATCAGAGCCCGGGATACAGACGTGATGAGCATGGGCAGCATCCTTTGGGAATGAAGCTTCTTTCGTAAGCGGTGTAACATCTGTTGTCGTTGGAGGCAAAAGTTCTTGTCAAACAGACACGCCATCCTTATAAATATTAATGGTGCACATGAATGGCAGTGGGTGTAAGCTGTGGTGGATGTTTGGTTAGCGGGTAGATCGCTCCTTAGGCATCAGTTTGCTGTCATCCAGTTTATTTTAAAATTACCAACTGATTATTTGGCACGGCAAGCAAAGAGCTGCTTTATCCCTCTTCCTCTCCCCAGAGCCCCTTCACAAATTGAATGTGTCCTCTTAGTGAGTCTCCTGCCCGGTCTTGGATGAAAATTAGTCCATCTCCCAGAACCAAGGAGTGTGCTGGAGCTGAAGGAGCAGCAGGCTGCACGCAGTAAATGCAGGGAATGAGGAAAGCTGAACAGAGAGGTTTGCAGCACTGCCCATCAGATGGATCCATCTTGTGCCATTGATTTCTCTGCTGCTAAAAGCAGGTGTTTAACCCTAAGAGGAAAATCTGCTCTCAGACTCCAGCCTGCCTGTTACTGCAGCCCATGTCTGTGCCTTTCAACACTGAGTTTCTGTTGCCACTTTTGAAACCAAAAGGCTTTTCCTGTCCATTTCTGTTTACCAGCCAACTCGGCAGCAGTGCTCGTGCTCATCAGCTGGGGCACACAGAGCAGCTCGTGCCAGCAGCAGCATTAATCTGTAACGCTCACAAGGGTCTCATGTCCGCTCACAGAAGAGCCCCCAGTCTACATTTGCTCTCTACAAAGATTTAGGTTCCCCCTGGACTGCAGGGATGTCCTGTTTCTGCCGCCTCAGTGGTGACATTCAAACACAGCGAGTGATGGGGAGGGCAGTGTGTCCCAGGGTGAGTGCTGGGCACAGCGCTGGGTGCTGGGCTCTGCTGAGGCACAAAAAGGAGCACCCGTTGTCAGTCTGCTTCACTCAGGTACAGCCTTCTCATGCACACGAAGCGGCAGTGCGGTCTTTGTCCCCTTTATTTTAGCAGACGCCTTCATTGCCTTGACATCCTTGCCCCCCAACCTGTTGGACTTCAGCAGAGAGCTTCCTCAGATGTCAGTGCAGAGCGCTTCAGCCCTTAGCACTACGCCTGCTCTGCTACCAGTGACAATGGCAGAGCCCCCTGTTGTGCGGTTAGGGACCGTCGCTCGGTCACACTGTAACCGTGGAAGCTGTTTCAGGGAAGTGAGAACAAACTGAGTACTGAGGCTTTTTAGTCAGATAAAGAAAAACCCACCCGTGGTGTTGCAGGGAGCAGTTCTGTGGCATTTCTTGGGACACCTCCTGTATTTGATTCCTCTTTGGAAGCTATCCTAATTACAGGCTTCACCATTGCATTTACCACCTCTTTGTAACAGTGATATTTACATCACTGGTTCCCCTTTCTGATATTTCCATTAGGTCCTAAATGACTTTCAGGCATTCCTGTTAGTTTACTTCCCAGCTGCTGAGGCCGTAGAGCTCAGCCCTCACTGAGGCTGCAGGCTTCTTTAGATGTGTGCCCCTCTGAGGGGTGACTCAGGATGACTCCCAGTCTGCACCTCTGGCACAGACACTCCACATTTGCTGACAGGACACGGGTTTTATTTTGATCAGATTAACACATACATAACCAGGCTTGGAACTTTGCTCCTGTGTGTTTTGTGAAATGCTCTAGGAAATGTCTGCTTTCATGCTCTGCTGCAGATTTGCATCCCCATTGCAATGCATCTGTTTAGCAACGCCAGCATGTATTTTATGGTCAGTTTTGATAAACATTGGGCTTCTCTGAATCAAAATTGGAAATATTTTATTAACAGAGACCATGCTCTGTCATAGCATCATAGAATCACAGAATCATTAAGGCTGGAAAAGACCTGTAAGATCACCAAGTTAACCCACCATTACCATGCCCACTGACCACATCACTCAGTGCCACATCTATGTGTCTGCGTGTGTTATGGAAGAGGTGTCTACTTATCTGCAGGAAGTATAGAGCACATTTTTGTCTCGCTGCCCTACACAGCTCATTTACTTGCCATATCACTCTGCCAATTTATGCTGGTGATTGGATTCTGCAATCTGCTGCCTGACAGAGCTCTTTCAATGGGGAGAGTGGTGTGCAGTGCCACTGGGCTGCCTGCATCTCAGCAAGATCCTTTGGA